CTAAGTTGTCCAAACTTGCCTCACACTTTTCAGTTCTCCTGCCTCAGCCTTCCAGAGTGCTGGTATTACAAGTGTGTACTACCATTCTCTGGCTGATTTAGGACTTTTGTGTAAGTATTCATAAGTAAGATTTGCCTGTACTTTGTTTTGTTGCTCCTTTCAAAAGATTTTGGGTTGGTATGCAGGAAGAATTGTTTTTAAAGAAATCTAATCTTGCTTCTTTTTTTACTGTTTCAAGGGTTATCTGTTCCATGATATAACTTGTAAAACCAGCTTCACTTGGAGTAGGGAGAGGTAGAGTGCTGGTCATTGATGACTTGTGATTCCTAGAAACTATTGGCTGAATGGAAATGGCGGGATGGCAGTTAGGAAATAGATACCAGGTCTCTAAACAAATGTGTATGCAATCTGCCCTTCTACTGTGAGATCAGTGGGAATGGAGATGAGAGATGTACTCAAAAATCAGAATGAAAGGTGAACTCAAAAAAGGTAATTATTGGACTTTTGGGTAACTAAGTGGCCAGGAGATGAGAAAATGACAGGGTCGATAGAAGCAAAATTCCCAGAGGAGTGCTGGCTTGAAAGAAGATGAAGAATTCAATTTCCAAAAGAGGAATTCAATTTTGGATACACAAGGCAGATATGAAGAAGTGTTACAAAGGAAAGAGAGTGAACGTGAAGCATGGTCACTTGGCCAGTGCAACCCTCACAGCTCATCTATTTCCACTGTGCAGGCAGAAATCCGAAGGCCAGAAACACAGAGTTTGCCAAGATTGTTCAGTTCTAGCGGCCTTGCCTTCTGTTGCTTTCCATCATTTGTGAGATGTCAGTTCAGAGCTCATTGGCTATTGGCATTAAGAGAATGTTTATTTTATTTAATTTTAATTTTTATTTTTTGGTACCAGAAATCAAACTCAGGACCTTGCGCTTGCCAGGCAGGCCCTTGTGCCGCTGAGCTATATCCCCGGCCCCTAAGAGAATGTTTTAGACTGAGGATGTAATTCAGTAACAGCACTTCCCTAGCAGGCATGAGGCCCTGAGTTCAGTCCTCGACACACACACATGTACATGCACACATCGAAAGAGAGACAGACAGACAGAGACACAGACAGAGACAGAGACAGAAAGACAGAGAACAGACACTGGAACCACAAGAACACAGTTTCTATACAAAATCCACTTAATTCAAGAGAAAGGAGTATATACTATAATTAATTTCATGACTTTCCCACCCTCACCTCTACAATCCACTCCATTTCTCCCTTTCCTCTATGCTCCTACTCCTCCATGGCTCTGTGAGAAAGGAACTTTAACTACTTTAATTGCCATGGTAAGTATATGAGTGAGCAAAACAGAATTCCTTGACATAAGTGCTGGGCTGGTCTGTACAGAATGGTCAGGAGCACCAGGAAAGGGGTGACAAATTGGAAAACTTCACAAAGCCTCTGATAGTAGCATTGGGTTTTGAAAGACAACTAAGAATTTACCAGGCAGTCAAAGGACAATATTCAAAGCAGAAGAATGTTAAAGGAAATACTAAGAGGAAGACTATTCAAAGCAGCGGTGATTGTTGTGTGTGAAAGCTAACTATCAGACTGTCAAGACGTGAAAATGACATAATGCAACTCAAGCGTAAGAGGAACTAGTATCTGCACGCAGCTGATGAGTGTGGACCAGTGTCGCCTCTCTGGAGTGTCACCCAGAGGAACTTAGCTCAAATATGCACACTCCTGTTATATTTTACATCTGGAATATCCCCCAAACTCTCTTGAGCTCAGAGACAGGCTTTTGGAAAGTGATTGGGTCCTGGTGATGCTATACTTAGCAGTGGATTCATCCACTGAGTTAGCAGTTGAGTGTGCCATTGGTACCAATTAGAGGTGAGTCTCTGGATGTGTGACTTGCAAGGGTGTATCTTTCTCCCCTGTTCCTCTGCTCTTTGCTTCCTGCTCTAATGTGAGCAGCTTACCTTTGCTATGCCTGTCTGCCGCTGTATTTCTGCCTTGGAGTCAGCTAACTATGGACTGAGACCATGAGCCTAAATAAACCTCTGCTCCTCTAAGTTTGGGGTGCCAGGTAGGGTATTGTGTCCAGTGAAGGGAACGTGACTAAGACACTCCCAGAGCAAGTGACATTTACTGCACACCATAGGACAAGGAACTGGAGGCAGTCCAGGTATATTTACTAGGACAATTATGTTAGTTACATATTTTGGAATGGTTTTCCACAGTCAGAAATAATAAACTGGAAGTACATACTGCAACATGAAGAGATCTCAAAAACTGTTAAAAAACAAAAGCAAAAACAAAGCCGAGCATGATGGCACACACAGTTGTAATCCCAGCAGCACTCAGGAGGCTGAGGCAGGAGGTTGCTCTGAGTTCAAGGCCAGTCTGAATTACATAGCAAAACCCCATCTCAAGGAAAAAAAAAAAAAAAAAGAGCTCTATCTTAACATACATAAGACATCATCAGGGACATAAGACAACACGGTAGCATGTGCATCTAGACACAAAGGGGAGTGTTGAGAGTAATGCTGGCAACTGAAGGGGAAAAGCAAATAAGGATTAAATCTGACAGACTGGAATCTCCATAAACTGAGGAGGATGACCAATTTCCTGCCCAAGGTGCTAAGAAAGGACTCCAAAGCCTTATGCATACAGCACAGCCAAAGAAGAGATTAGTGAGTGGCAGGAGGCACAGAACTGAGGCTGGGGAGAGGTGGGAATCAGAGTCCAGGCCAGAGCCGTAGATTTAGCCCATGGTCAGCAGGGAGCAGCTGACAGCTTTTAAGCAAGAAAGAACATTGTGCTAGTGATCCTGTCTGGTGACCTGAAGGAGAAGGAAATACTGAGACAGCACAGTGTTCAGGAGACTGCTTTAAAATGACAGCAGAAGGAGGCCAACACAAGAACTCAGGTGGGTAGGCAAAGTGGCATCGGTGCAGCTGGTCTCCAGTGGGCGCCATCCAGGCCTAATGCAGGAACCCGCAGCAGGCCGCCTCCATTGGGAATAGAACCAGTCACTGGCTACAGCCATCTTCGTGAGCTATTGAAGGCTATGAAGATTTGCAGTGACATGGAGACCAGAGTGAAGGTGTCTCTTCTCTCCTAGCCCCATTTCCTCTTCCATGCCTGGTTGTCCTGGCACAGCGCTGGAGACTTGTTCTCAGTCCAGCTCTTCCTGCTGGGCTGTACCAGTGACCTTGGGCAGTCTACACTTCCTCTCTGGGCCTCGCTTCTTCTCCCCTTTCTAGTATGTCCTTTCTTTGGCTCCGCATTTTTATATTTCCCTAGGAAAAGCCCCCAGCAGGGAAACCTTGGCCCCTCCTCCAATCCCCCCAGGTGTCTCCAAAGTCCTGACATCCTCCTTAATCTTCCAGCTCCACTGCCCCACCCTGGTGAGGAAGAGCAACAAATTGGTATCGTAATGGCCCCGCTGATTGCATTATGGGTGTCTAATGCAATATGCTCTCATGAGGACCATCCATCAGAGCAAAGTCCCTCCCTAAGTCCCTGCCACGCCAGTCACATTAGTCGGGCAGCCCATTCATCATTACCGCACACCTCCATGGAGACTGGCCGAGACAGATGAGGGGCCAAATCAGATTTATGGGGAGGAATCTTTGAAAAAATCAGCCCCATCCATCTCCCAGACACTGAGGAGGGAGCCCTATGTCCCTATTCCCTCCAAGGCTCCTTAGGGAAATGGGTCCTAATAGGGAAGCCAACCAAGTTGCCTTTGTTTTTATGAAGGCCCATTCCTAAGTCCCTCATGTTGCCTAGCATAGCTCTAGAACTAGCTTCTCTTGGAGTTCAAAATTTTGCAACGAAGTCCCTGCCAGGACCAGGACACTGTGCCCAGAGTTGGCCAAACTTTTAAGAATCCCAGGGTATGCACTTACCTGGGTTCCTAGGTAGGGCCAACTTCTGAAAGCAGAGAGATAGGAGGAGGAGGCACCAAACCCAGTTCAGGAGTGAGTTACGTCCTAGGTAATCACAGGGAAGGTGATTTCACTCGGTCTTCCATGGCGCATTTTAACTCCCTAGCTAGGCCAGGTGACTGCCTCTGCGCATAGGAAGATTTGAAGGAGTTCAGAATAGAATCAACAACTATCCTTCAGGTCCCTGGATTCCTGGAAACTGAAGCTTGTGTGATTTGAAATCCTTTTTTGAGAAGTCATGCAAAATTATGAACTGCCACGTTCCCTCCCCAGGCTTTGGAAGCAGCCTGTGCAAGTGAGGGGCCCTAAAGCCTTCGCTTCCTTGGCTCCCTTGTGAATCTCTCTCTGCTCTGTGCCTGACACATGCGCCTTCTCAGCTGGGTCCTGGATGAGGGAGTTCAGGGGCTGAGCAGAACTGAAACCCACCTGTTCGGCTAGCACAGCCCTACTTGCATGCAGTGCTTTTCACAAACATCCTCACAATTGCCAATTTTCAGCAAGGCAAGACTGACTCTTCCCATTTCATAAGAAATTTAAACTTCACAGATGAAGTGACTTGCCAAGACTGTACAGCTGGTAAGTGACAGAATAATGACTGGGACCTGGTCCATTGGCCACTGGGCTTGTACTCACCCCAGAGCCTCTTTTCCAGAGTCCCCTCAAGTTTTGGACAGGGATTGCCTGCTCTATACAGTTGGTCTAGAGCCAGTATTGTAGCTGCCCTGGGGTCTGAGAGGGACCAGGCAGAGGCAGAAATGGGGATAGAAAAGAGGGAAGAAATCCTTGTAGCAGAGCCCTAGGGCTCAGTGATGGGTGCTATGAGATTAGGGCTACCTTTGCCTTGCAATAGTTAATCTTGCTTCTCCCAAACTGACCATGGCCCCATCTGTGCTGCGTCTTGAATGAGGGAACTCAGGCTGAGCAGAGCTCGAAGCCCACGCATGGAGTGCCTGGTCCACGAAGCTCTCAAGGTTTCCCAGGGGAAGGACGGTGAGAGGGTGGAGAAATAAAAACAGAAATAATATACAGAAAGCTGAGGTCGGATGGAAGGAACAGGAACTGCTTAACCACCGAAGTGCCTTTATTTATACAGTCAGAAAGTTGATGTCAGGTGAAACCCCTTTGTGGCCTGTCAGGGTAATCTTGGGGCAGGAGCACCTATTCCCTTGGGCACTTCACTCCCTCAGGACGTTCTTCTGGGGCGCTCCTTGCTCTGGGCTCAGCAGGTGTGAATGGTAACTAGCTCAGTCGCTTCAGACAGTGGGGCCCAGGTAGAGGGCCATGCTGACTCTTCTGTGGATTGGTGTAGACTTTAGAGAAGCCTGGCCCCCCCAACCCTTCTCCACCCATGCTCTTGCGGGATGTTGCAACCAAGCCACTTACTGCCCATCTGGGTCCGAAGGTGCTGAGACTGGTGGGTGGCCCCCCTCCTGCTAGGCAAGTCCTGGGACCATGAAGCTCAGCCCCTGAACTGGCTCCTGGAAGATAGGGAAGAAGGCTGGATATGTATAGCATGGGCCGAGAAGATGGGAATCTGTGAGGGCACACGTGAAAATAGGAATCCTACCCGGTAGAAGCATTGTGATGGTACCCTGTTCATCTGATGGTTTCAGCCGGTATCATCCCCACAGTTGTCACTTGCCCTGAGGGCACTGTGTCTGTTGTCTCTTCTCAGATGGCATCTTCAGCCCCAGGAGTCTGAGCTGGAGCTTTGGTGACTTCAGATTATGATGCTGAAACTCCGCCAGCCGCTGTCCTCCCTCTGCTGTCTCTTGCCCTCCTCTTCTCCCTGCCTCCCCACAGGGCTGTGCCTCCAGCCTCTAAGGCAAGACTCCCCTCACCCTGCTTCCTCTCCTCTAACGCAGGGGCACTTACAAAGTAGGTGAGACGGGAAGGGTTTCTATCTCTCTCCACTCATTGCCTGGATTTCTTCCCATGTTTTCTCCATTCCCCATTCCCACATGAAGTTTATGTGTGACCACTCCATCTATAAGGGTTTGGTCTTTCCTTTGACCTCACTGGATCCTTGCTGGTTCAGGTTCCCTTGCTGTCTCAGCCGGAACATAGAGCAGAAGGCTTTGGGTCAGGCTACGTTCTCCAGGCACCAGCCTGCTGGAAAGCCCCATGCAATGCAGGACTGCCACCCATGGAAGAGACACAGCCACACACAGCCTCAGAATGGGGGCAGATGAAACCCATACCTACAGAGCAGGTGCTTGTGCCACAGAATAATGGAGAGAAAAGCCTTAGTGAAATGGGTGGCTTTATCTACAAACATGGGATGCCAGCACTAACCCCTAAAAGGCAGCTAAAGAGTCTTATTAATGGGAGTCCAGAGGTCAGGAAGCTCTGTGTCCGCACACTGTGTGTGTGTGTGTGTGTGTGTGTGTGTGTGTGTGTATGTGTGTGTGTGTGTGGGCGCGCGCGCGTGTGTGTAGAGGTCCCCAGGTGGGAAAAAGGCCGAGACTGCTAACCTCTTTGAGCTCCTCGAAAACTCAGAGACTCTAAGTGTTGAGAGGAAACAAACACAAGGGACAGTCTCAAGGTCAGCTGGGACATGTGTCTGTGGCAAGGAAAGAGGTCCTTTCCAGACTCTCTCCTCCACTCTACCTTAATACGAATATTCCTTGGGGCTGTATCCTAGGCCTGCTTTTTTCTGTTCAGGCCCTCCACACCAGTGTCTCCATTAACATCGGAATGCAGATGTTGTCTAAATCTCTCTCTAGGCCAGATCTGTTTTCCATACTTCAGACCTTTACAAAGACAATAACCAGCAGACGGCTGCATGGGAATGAGCCACCAAAAACCTACCAAGGCCCAAAACTCATCATCGTGGCCCTCAAGCTCATCTTCTCCTGAGTTTTCTGATCTAGGCGATGTCATCACCATATATCCAGTCCCCAGCTGGAACCCCATCCCCCAACCTCAGTTGCCACGTACTTCCACCTTTGGGTTACAACCCAGCTACTTCTGAAATCTGTGCACTTTGCTCCATCTTACTGCTCAGGCTTAGTTTAGTCTTTTGTATGCTACATTACAGGCTCAGATTGGAAGCTAGGTTCCCCCGGTTTGAATTCTGGAGGAGATTGCATTTACCCTCAACATGCACTTAAAATAACTTGGGCAAGGTGTTGAATCACTTGATACCTCAGATGCTTTCTCTCTGTAAAGTGAACAAAAAAGTGAGTATATATTGCTCAAACCAGTGAGTATTGGATAATAGTGCCTACCTCTTAGGTTGGCTGTGAGGGTTATATAACAACATACACATGCAGTGCTTTATAAAGTCCCTGGCACAGAGGCAAGAGCTAAACTACTGTAGGGTATTATTGTCATCACTATTATTATTGTTACCATTGTCATTATTGTTACCTGAATTGTCACCATAGTCTCTCATTAGGCCTCCCTGCCTCAGTTCTTCTTCTCTTCTCCTCCATTCTCTAACCTGAGAAGCACTGCTGCCCAGGCAAGTGAGTATATATTGCTCAAACCAGTGAGTATTGGAGCAGACTTGGAGTCTAGATCTAAATGACTCCAGAGCCTTGTTCTTATCTACTAAGCCATGCTGCCTGTTTGCAAGTATCAAGAATGAATAGATTTGGAGCAGCTGCACAGTGAGGAAGGAGAGGAACCAGTGGAGGGAGGATTTAAGGAAAACATCTGAGGTGCTCCAGATTTTCCAGCTAAAAGGGATTTCAGAGTGACAATCTTCTTGCAGGGATCAGGAAAGTAGGGAACATATATTGAAGCTGGGTTGAAGAGGAAGCATAGAGTTGTAGGGCTGCTGGTGGAGAGAATGTGTAGAGGGCCTGGAGTTCTCCCAAGAACCTCTTGGGACCTGCAGAGAGGGGACCCGAGGAAAGCTTGGAGGGGTCACAGGTGTATGCCAGAACAACTTTGGTCATCAGAATAGTCCAGACAGGACCCAGGAGGGGTAAGGAGGGAGTGTCATTCTGGAAATTGTTCCCCTTTGATCACCACACCAGCATCTGGTGAGAAAACTAGCTGAAGCTGGAGCATTGGGAACTCGGGTGAGCTTGGAGCCGGGTTGTGGTGTCATAGTAAAGGTGGAAGACCCTTACATGGCAACCACATGGGCTCTGGCCTCTGCCTCGCATCTCCTTCTGAGGGATTTCGCAGGAGTTAAGGAAAAAAGCAAGAGGAATTGACCTAGCAGCACTCTGAACTTGGGGTATGGAGCCCTACCAACTAGATTTTCACGTTAGCTCTAGGCGAGGCTGCTAATCAGTCAGCTGGCTTGCCTGCTAGGGGCTTCTGTACAAAAGTCAGTGGGAAGTAGGCAAGCAGGGTGGATTTGTTTCTGGCTATTATCTCCAAGCCCTGGATGAGAAGATATTTTTTCTCCTAGACTTGTTCTTTTGCATGAGGCCGGTGATTAAAAATACTGCCCTCACCTCTGTCCCCAAAGAATGGAAGCCTTTGAGACACGCAGCCCAATGCCCCCATGGACTTTCTTTCAGGTCCAAACCTGCCCTGCTAGTCTGTCTTCCATCTAGCAATCCTCCAGGTTCAGGCACAGGACAGGACTTTGATTGGCAGGGAGAAGTCCACTGCATTCCTGTCCTATCTGTGCCTCTAAGGAAAAGCTTGCTGGACAGACTGCAGTGAGGAGGCTTTCTGGCTTGGGGGACTTGGAAGGGCACGCTGGGGACCCCAAGAGTCCAGGAGGGCGGAGGCTGTACTCCTTGTCTGATTCAGTCTGTGCCAAAATGAACAATGTTCCCTTTAAAAATCAACAACCTGGCAATTTCTGGGATCCGTGGGATTTTTACAGCTTGGGTGGAGGGTGGGGGAAGCAGTTTTTAACACCAGGCAACATGAAGGCGAATTCATTTACATCCACCCAGCCATATCCCCTGCCTTTCACATCAGTGTTTTACCTTCCACAAAGGCTCTGGGTTCTCTATCATGCCTTTCTTTTTTCTTCCTGGATCCCAATTGTCAAGCCTTCAAGAAAATGCACTTCAGTCCTTTGTCACTGAGTGTAATTTGATAAACTGAACAGAAACACACTGCTCTCACCATCCTTTCAAAAACTGTTACTGCCAGAGAAAGAGGATGAGGGAAAGAGATCTGAGGTCTTTGAATGGACATTTAAGCACGGATGCACGCACACGCGCACACATGCACACACACAGTCTCACACACACACCAGGACCTAGAGTTGCCCAGGGTAGAAGAAAGCTGAATCCCAGATTCTTGTGTGTTGGGGCCTGGCCTGGGGTCCCGGGACAGATACCCTCACAGCTCCTATCAACTCCCCTCGTTGCAGGCCCTAGTAGCAACCGCCCAGTGGGCGGTGCCAGGGCAGGTTTCAGGCTATAAAGGGCTCTTGGCTCCCTGGGCCTGAGAGAACGCCATCGCTGCGGCACTGTCCCTGCCAGCACAGCCAGCTTGGGGCACTGTCGGTGTCCCATCGCTACCCCGCAGACTACTCTTTTCCAAGCAGTGCCGATTTGGACACAGCTGTCAGCTGCGTTCCTCCTACCTTCCATCGGCAAGTCCCCTTTTGCATTGCTTTGGGCTGGGTTGGGAGTGGGGTAGGAGGAAAAGGACTGGGTATGGGGGCTCTGACAGGGGAGGATGGGGATAGTTCCACTTCTTCAAAAAAAAATTCCTTCTGGGGCAAGGGTTGGAAGCTGAGATGTCTGGTATGAGGTATGAAGTGATACTTGCTCCATATTCAGGCTCAGGAGAAAGCAGCAAAGTTCTTTCCTAAGGGCCACCCCCTTCCCAGAGGGCTGCGGAGGAGTGGGTGAGGGGCTGTCTCCTACCGGTCGGTCATCTCTCGGGGCCGGGAGTGAGGATTCAGGCTATGCCTGCATCTGGCTCTACCAGAGAAAGCTATTTGGATAGGGGTTGTTATCTATAAAACAAAATGAAAAGATTCAGAGGATACTTGGGGGTGGGGTGGGAGCAAGTCTCCGTACGGGACAAAGAAAAAGAAGGAAGGCCTTTAGAAATAAGCGCACAATCCAGGATCTAGCTTTGGATTTAGTAGCATTGCAAAGTGCAAAATAGTATCTCCAAAGAGATGGTGGGCTGGGTGGGTTTTGGGCAGATGGTGGTTTTGAAGGGGCCAGTAAAACCTCAAAACGGCCTCAGAGACTCTGAAACTGCAAGGGATGGGGGTGAGCGAGGAAGAGTGTAGCCCTGCAGACTCCTGAAAGGCAGTCTGTGGCACTGTGGTGATTTCCAAGCCAAGCTGATTATGTCGTATTGCTGCACCCCTCCTACCCCATCCAGCCTGGACAGCAGGGGTCCAGCCCCTCTCGGAATAGCCAGGACACAATCAGGGAATGTCCTCCAAGCTGTCCTTGAGGACTGGGTACTGGAGGGTGGCGCCTGATCCAGAGGGAGGGCACTGAGTGGGAGAAGGTAGGCAAACAGGCCTCGGATGAATATCTGGGGCTACAAGCTGCCATTCGGGGTCAAGGGAGCCTTCCGGACCTGCTAGAGTAGCGGTTTCTGTTGTGGTTCGGAGAGGGGTGGGCAGGATCTGCTGTCCCTATTTTTTGCCAGAAATAGGTCCTGCCTGTCGGAAAGGGTAGCAAGGGATCTTAAAATGGAATGGGACCAGCCTGAGGCCCTCAGGAGGATGAGGAAAAGCAGAGACCTGAGTTTTCCAAGGGACCCTCAGTACAAGAGAGGTAGGGTACAGCTAAACGCAGTGAGAACTCCGAGGCAGAGCCCTAAGCTTTGTCTCTTGGGCTAGACTGTCCTGCTGGGAGACTCCGTCAGCTCTTGAGTACATAGTCCTGCCTTCTGCCCACTGGTGGCTGGTCCCTTTGCTCTCTGCACACTTAGGGAGCCATCCCTGCCTTTGTACTGGGCTTCCCCATTTCTGTTTAGCTTGGATTGGAGGAATGAGAGGAAGCAAGAAAAGAAAATGACTAGGCATCCATTCAAAAAATCCAGGACCCAAACTGTGCAAAATTGGATGTAAGCGGACAACTCCCTCTGTTGTGGGCTTCATCTATCAAAAGTAGGACATTAAATAAAGGAGGAACTGCCATGTGGGGCCAGGTCTCGAGGTTCGTGGGGTGTATGCTGGTCAGTGAGAGAGAGAATAGGACAAAACAACAGGGATGCTGAGGTAGGTCTGTCCCCAATTTTCTTACCAATACAAGAAGTAATATGTAAACCTGATACCTGAGAACAGCATTACCTCACAGCACTATGTGGAGATGAAATCAAATAATATCTGGAGAAGAGATTGTTGGCTACGCAGGAAGAGGATCTTGGGAAGGCAATGTCCTCATTCCTTTTGATGTAGAAAGTTGAGGACAGACAGCACTCCTGGGTAGTTTCATGCCTTGGGGAGGAATAGGACTTTAGGTAGACCTGTCCCTGCTCATAGGCACTTTCTGAGCGATATGCTTTGCCTACTCATTGTCTGCTTATTCCAAGGGTGCCGAGAGTCTGCCCTTCTATTCTCCCAGGCTCCTCTGCCAAGCACTGTGAATTTCACGCAGGTAGAACTAAGATTGAACCGACATCCCCCAATTGAATTCCCAGTCTGCTTTCACTGACGGCAACGTACCTGAAGAGCTCCAGGCTTCCTAGTACTGCAGAAAAAACCTGAAGCCCTGGGGTGTGCCCTGAGCTGTGAAAAGGGGTATGGGGGGAAGCGCCCGGGAGTTTCTGAGATATTAATTACAGCCGGCCTGGGGGAGATGCTCAATTGCAGAACAGGCACCTCATTCTCAGCCCAAAACAAGAGAAATATTCTGATCTAAGGGCCATTGCTATTCCCAAAGCCTCGTACTTCGGAATAGTCTATGAAGGTCCAGGCACACTCCGGCCAAATATTAGCCTGGGTAATGTTCATTTGGGGACAGCAACAGGGTCAATCTGTGACCAGGATTGTGGGTCAGTCTGGGGTTTGCCTCAGGGGTCTGGTTTAGGACAGGGTTATGGTTCAGATCAAGGTCTGGATCAGGGCTCAGTCGGGGGATGGGATCAGACGTCCACCTGAGGTTGATGAAAGAGTGTCCTTTGATGAGCTCTGAGTGGCCGAGATAGCTGCTGGCCTTCCTCCATCGCCCTTCCTCTGTTTGCCCTATTAGCAGGCCTGTTCCGCAGGTCCAGCATTGGCTCTCACCTCCAGAAGCCGTCTACAGAACCGTGGCCTTCCTTTTTTCCTATGTACTCTTCAGGACTTGAGCAGGGAGATGATTCTAATTAGAAAATCCAGCAACCATTACTAGATGTCCCCACGGACATTGCCTAGACCCCACATGGCAGCTAAGCAGTAGGGACGACTCAGAATTTCTTTCCCATTCCCCCTGCCAAATTCCACTCTACACCTGGACAGGGAGCAATGTAAGACAGTGTAGAACAAAAGGACACGAAAGCCACCCCAGGAAGCAAGGGGGGACAACTGGAATGTGTGGGGCCCTGATGCCCACACAGCAGACACCTCTGTGTGGACTTGGGTTGGTGGCTGGAGGCAGGTGTTTTCTGACTCTGTGGAGTCCTGGATGTGTTGTGCCTTTGTGTGCACTCAGGGTCTGCCTGGGCATCCGTTTGCAGCCCTGTGTGGCTGGGCTATGTTCATCGGTTCACCCATGGCTGTCTCCACAGTGGATTTCCCAGTGTCCCGCCCACTTCGTCACTTTGTGGCAGTGCTGGGAATCTGGCTAGATTTTCAGCTTTCCAAGACAGCCTCAGAATGACCCCCCAGCCTCATCTGACCCGGAAAGAGATAGCTCTGGCCTCACTGCTCCTGTTGCCCAGTTGCCAGATTTGGCTGTCCTGTGGAGGAGGGTGCTCCCCAGCTCTCTATCTCTGAGGCCACGGAGGTCCTGACAGAAACTTTGTGAGTCAGAGCCCCAACGGAGTTCCGGTGAGGTCGCTGAGGCCGGAAGACTGTAGGAGCCAACGAGCATATCCTTTGGAGCTGATCTCCCACTAGGATAGGCAATGGGGAAGGGGGAGCAGGAATCGCTTCCCCCTGAATCTGTAGTACTATCACTGTCCACCAGGTGGGGTTCCAGGGCAGAGAGTGAGCGCCGAGAGGACCCAGCGCTAGCAGCTAGCAGCAACAGCCCAACTTCGTTAGCCGGGTCACCCTCCGAGGCGCTCATCCAGAGAAGGACAACACATATGCGCGCATCGTAGACTGTCGCGCACATTGTCTTCCAGTGAACTCTAAAGTGGAACACATATTGGGTGCAGGGGATGAGTTAAAGCGGAGGTCTAGTTTCGTTTACATGCATACCACCCTCAACTAAAGGTGGGATGTGCAGCCTTTTGCTCCGCCAGTGCAAGACACGGGAGACAGAGACATGGGTGCTGGGATAAACAGGACTCAGGCGGGAGGGAGAGCCAGGCACTAGCCAGACAGATGTTAGGGTTGGTGTGCATAGCTCCATCACGGGCTCTCAGGAGAAGAGGCCAGATGACAGATGCATAGGTGCACAGACACACACACGACTCCAGAGAGAGCACAAACCTGCAGACGCACAACCTCGCTCCACCGACGTCGCGCTGGCTCTGGGCGGACACACAGGTGCGGCCCCGGGCCACACGCACACCTCACACTGGCGTGCCTACCCGGCCCTCTGCGGCCGGCGCTGAGAAGGTAGCCGCGCTCACTCGGGCGTGTTTATTTACTCATTTGCATCAATGAACGTTTGTCCCCGACTCCTCCCGCCTCTGGGTGCCGGACCTCCGTGCCGGTCCCCAGCGCGGGATGCTCGCCCAGACCACCACCGAGGTTCCTTCTTCCCCGCGGGCAACCAACTGGGACTACACACCGGGGGGAGGAGGGTCTCGGAGGTGTCAAAGAGGAGGGCTCACAGCAGCCTACGACGCGCGCGGGGGCAGGGGCACCTCCAGGTTCTGTAGGGTAAGGCAGGAGACGGTAAGAGGGGAGGAAAGGAGAATCTTGGTTTGGGGACCTAGGGACCAGGGATGGGGACCTGACATAGAAGATACTGAAAGTGTCAAATCAGAGATCCCAGGAGATAAGGTCCTGCGGGATCCTTCGGGATCCTGCGGGATAGGAGCCCCGGACTCTAGACACGGGCGCCCCTAGTCGAGGGGGTACTCTGGCCAGGAACTGTGTTGCGGGAACTATGGCGCGGGGCACTGCCTGAGGAAGGAGGAGGGGGCCCAGGACCTGGGAGGGAGGAAAAGTGGGAAGGAAGTAGCCTAGCAGCCAAGCGGGCACTAAGCGAGTGCGCACCGTGTGTGTGTGTGTGTGTGTGTGTGTGTGTGTGTGTACGCGCGCGCGCGCGCGCGTGT